TAAATATTCAACATGTTGAGCCTTATTTACGATTGAAATAAAGGTGAGAGAATTATTTTTTTTGTTAGGTATTGTTGTAAACACATTGTAGTATTGACCTAAAAAAAATTTGCGTCCAAAAAACGGAAATATTATCAAGTTTTGCGTCCTCCAAATTATTTTTGAGTCCTTAACATGTACGGGACGCCGTTAATGCAAGCCCTGTAGCTATAAGAGTGCTGAAAAATATTGTATATGCATTTCCAAGACCCTCTATACACCCCCCCCCCCCTCCGTAAGTACCTTAAATATGTATTTATGAATAAACAAATAAGCTTACATCATTACATTTTATTCGTAATTTTTAAATTTAGATGGTCCAGTGGGACCCAATGAGAGTTGTCTCATAAATAGTCAATGAATGATTGAGTGGGCAAATGCATGCATGGATGAAACAAATGGGTGTAAATGGAGTCAGTTAGATGTTATAATTTTTTTGTAAAAAATCCTACGCATATCCAGAATTTTTTGCTAGAGGGAGCTCTAACAGTCTAATATATCCCAAAAATCTGCGAAAATGAATGTCCAGCGTACGCTAGGGGGTAAGCATTTTCCCACAATTAACTGATTAAACCTGCACATCGCTCCAAAACGCAATCTTGGGTTATTTCAGGGGTGAACTTTATCATTTTGAGCTTAGTGAAAGATTATAGAATGATGAACAAATGGGGCAAATGTTGTGTATAAATACTTACGATAAATGTGTCATTTCAAACATTGTTCATTGAATAGCTTCGATTGGTGACGACGATATGATTTTGGAAAGGTTTCTAAATTAATAACGTGACGTCACTTCAGAGTTATAGCATTCAACATTAGTAGTGTTTAATTACTCCAATTATCATAATAACTCGGTGGCCTTGCGGTAGAATGCTCGCTCAGCATGCAGGAGGCCCGGGTTCGAATCCTGTACTAGCTTTTTTATTTTTTAACTAAATGATTGTTCTTTTGATATTACACAGAAAAAACAATTTTTATTTACATAAGCTTTATAGAGCTTGAAAATGTAAAAACAATACTGTAAAACGGGTAATTTTGACACCGGGAAATTTTAGCGATTTTTCAATTTTAGGGGGTTTCAGCGGGGGAAATGTTAGCGAAATGAAGATTAATCTTTAAAAAATCAAATTAGGGAAAAGCATAAGAAATTTTATCATTAATGGCAGAAGAATGAATAACGGACATGGATGGCTATTTATCCTTCAGATATTGAAAGAAACATACGATTTAAAAATATTTACCTTTTTCAAATTACAAACCGGAAGTCGAGCACTGAACGAAAAGCTCCTTAAATACTAGTATTCATGTAGTTTCCCGGGAATTTTAGCGCCCGTTTACTCTAACCCCAGTTTATTTTAGCGAATTGAATTTTTAGCGAAACTATAGCGATCGCTAACAATTACCCCTCGCTAACAATACCCGTTTTACAGTATCTTAAATTAAAATAAAATATCTGGTAAATTAAGTGAACAACCTATCTCGTTATCCCACTGAACAAAGTGCACTGACTGACTGAAGGATGCAGTTTGTTCACACATTACATGTTATATTCTAGTTTATCAACTCTGTGTTCTACTTTCCAGTCCAGTAAAAGGAATATTCCTATGTTGTTTGTACGTGGCGATGGAGTCATACTAGTGAGCCCACCTATGAGGACAGGAACTTGAGACTTCATGCAGTTCATGCAGATAGGAACTGTGAAAAGAACATTAATATGGCAGCCATTTTTGAGAATTCTTAATATTGTCACAAAACATGTTAACTGAAGTACTGTAGGTAATAGATCAATGATTTTATTTTATATTGTAATAGGATACATGATATACCACCTGCAGTTTCAATGCATTATCCTTTTCCTTGAATACTTGGCCCACTGGGCTTTAGCCAAAAGAACTCAAACAAATCCTCATGGGCATTTGAAAAGAGGGAATTTTTTGAAAAATAAATAAACCATGAAGGCTATATTCATGGAGTAGCATAAATATAACACAATCATGTAATTAACAACAAACATATTTTGGAAATAAAAAATTTTGACAAGACATACCTACTTAAAAGTTTTATTTTTACTTGAAGTGAGAAAGCAAAGTCTTCCATCTATCAGTCTATCTGGGCAATAACTCAAATTATAGTTAACAAATTACTTCATATGTGTGGTCGAATTTTAGGATATCATGCCAAATTTAAAAATTGGTGGAGAAAAAGCAATAAAAACTTCTTGGCCTACTTTCTGTCTGAAATGATGTAGACTGGAATCAGAGGGTTGAAAATATCATGACATCTTATATTTTGACGATCCGGCAATTCATGTTTACCAATTGAAAGGTAAAGGGTTCCTAAATTGGTACTGAGATTTAACAAGAAGAAATAGGTGTCAAAAGGTAAAGATTAAAAGGTGGATTGGATCGAGTGGATTGGATTCATGTAAAAGGTGGATTGGATTGGCTATCTTCAAAATATGGATTTTCCTTTAAAAAATTCTATTGATCTCCCTCTAGGAAGATTGGTGCTCTCTTCACTTGCACAATGTCAAATAATAGATGTAATATTATTTTGCTTGGGTGGGCTAGAAGGATGACCTGGTACCCGCTTTCTGATATACGATCTTATTCATTCCAAGTGTAATTTGAGAGGTAAAGATTAAAAGGTGGATTGGATCGAGTGGATTGGATTCATGTAAAAGGTGGATTGGATTGGCTATCTTCAAAATATGGATTTTCCTTTAAAAAATTATATTGATCTCCCTTTAGGAAGATTGGTGCTCTCTTCACTTGCACAATGTCAAATAATAGATGTAATATTATTTTGCTTGGGTGAGCTAGAAGGATGACCTGGTACCCGCTTTCTGATACACGATCTTATTCATTCCAAGTGTAATTTGAGACATTTCATAAATCATAAGGCAGACTGGTTTGAAGATCCATATCATCTGTTTTCAATCCAAATTGAACACACCAGAAATGTTTTGTGAAGATTCACATATCAATTTGAATGACAGGTTTTATTTTTCTAAAGATCTATGTCTTACAAAAGTTGATTTACAAGGGAAAGCGGTTAAATACTTAAGAGTGTCCATGAACTAATTGGAGTATGTATTTGTCATTGCTTTGTTCTGATTTCTCAAAAGGGACCTGTAATACTGTAGAGGGAAATTGCTTAGAGGGAGATCAACAGAATTTTTTTATAAGAAATTCCACATTTTGAAGATTCCCGATCCAATCCACCTTTTACATGAATCCAATCCACTTGATCCAATCCACCTTTTAATCTCTACCATTTGAGACATTTCATAAATCATAAGGCAGACTGGTTTGAAGATCCATATCATCCGTTTTCAATCCAAACTGAACGTGCCAGAAATGCTTTGTGAACATTCACACATCAATTTGAATGACAGGTTTTCTTTTTCTAAAGATCTATGTCTTACAAAAGTTGATTTACAAGGAAAGCAGTTAAATACTTAAGAGTGTCCATGAACTAATTGGAGTATGTATTTGTCATTGCTTTGTTCTGATTTCTCAAAAGGGACCTGTAATACTGTAGAGGGAAATTGTTAAGAGGGAGATCAACAGAATTATTTTTATAAGAAATTCGACATTTTGAAGATTCCCGATCCAATCCACCTTTTACATGAATCCAATCCACGCGATCCAATCCACCTTTTAATCTCTACCTGTCAAAATGTGTTTTTGGGTGAAAATGTGTTTTTTGCAGAAATAGGATTCCGTTTTAAGTTATTTTTGTTCAACATCAACATAGAAAACCCCCTATGACTCCTGGTTTAAAAGCTCACCTATTTTCAAAATGGCCGCCATTTTTGTATCGCGAAATTCACTTTTGGACCATTTGCTTTAAAACCTCTGTCGATAGGATTCCCGTTTTAAGTTATTTTTGTTCAACACCAATACAGAAAACTATTTTCAAAATGGTCGCCACTTTTGTCTCGCAAAATTCAATTTTGGCCCATTTCCCAGCTTAACAAATAATTTCAGGTGTCCTGCATTGTAGAAAGCCATGTCAACAGAGACATTTGATGAGTATTTAGCAGATTTGAATTATGATGCGCAAGAATCATCATGTCTAAGAGACCAGTTAGTTATCGGCATGAACAACCAGAACATCGGCAACGCCAAAGCGTAGCGAATCCCATCGAACAGAAATGGCTGGCATTTTTACAAACAAAATTTAAAGCAAATATCATAAAATAACACACATAAGAAAAGGCCACCATTTTCAAAATGGTTGCTCACTGGCCAAGTTGTCATCAGAAGAAGTAATATGCTTTAAAGTAGCGACATATAAAATTTTTAAAAATCACACACATGTACATGTAAATGGTGGCCATTTTTTAAAATGGCCGCCTACTACCCAAAATGTCATAAGACAGTGTGCAATCCTTACGAGTATTCACATATCAAATATGAACAAAATCACTCTTTACTTTTTGAGTTATAATAAAATATGTAAAATAACACAAATAAAAATGGTGACCACTTTTCAAAATGGCCGACTTCTCCCCAAAGTTTTATTAGACAATGTGCCATGCTTAAAGTATTCACATATCAAATATGAACAAAATCGCTTTAATATTTTTCAAGTTATAGTAAAAAATGTAAAAATGACAGCCATTTTTAAAATGGCCGCCTACTACCCAAAGTCTCATTAGACAGTGTGCCATGCTTGTAGTATTCACATATAAAATATGAACAAAATCCCTCAACTACTTCTTGAGTTATAGGCTAGTAAAAAATTTAAAATAGCACACGTAAAAATGGCAGCCATTTTTCAAAATTGCTGCCTACTACCCAAAATGTCATTGGACATGCATAACCAGGCGAAGAAAATCGCCGGAGCAAGCAAACCTGCTGAAGGAAGTCAGGTTAATTGTATACAAAACTGTAAATTTTGCAATAAAGGCCATGAAAGTCGTTAATGCCCAGCTTATGGCAAAACATGTGTCTCTTGTAATGGAAAAAATCACTTTTCTGGTGCAAGGAAGTGTCTAGGTTTGGAATCAGGGAAATCATCGTCGCGACCCAGTTCCCAGACTGAGAGGCACAAAGGTCGTCGCAAAGGTGGTCGTCGTAGAACTGTACATCAAATATCGGATGATTCGTCAAGTTGTAGTGAAAAAGAATTCTTCATAAATACCATAAACATTCGTGATGATGCCAACAACAAACAATCTGATATTCCACAGAGTGATAATCCACATAGTGATATTATACAGAGTGATACTGATAATCCACATAGTGATATACAGAGTGATAATCCACATGGTAGAATACAGGCCATAATAATGCCTGATAGTGATGTTCCTGATAATGACTCAGTTCCAGATATGATGCAGGCCATAATAATCCTGATAGTGATGTTCATGATAGTGATTCAGTTCCAAATATGATACAGACCACAATAATGCCTGATGATGCTTCAGAACAGGCAACATTGGCCTGATTGGTGATGTAAATGTGAATATGGTACAGTAGTAGGCTCATCAGCTCCGATCCTGCATCCAATGATCTGATAATGGTCATTAACAATACACAGATACAGTGATACCAGTGAAGTTGGATACAGGTGCTAAGGCCAATCTATTGTCTATGTCTGACTACAATCTGTTAAAGAAAAAGCCTAAAATTGTCAAGAAACATGTGTCACTCATTGATTATAATTGATCACCTATTGATAGCAAGGGTGTTTGTGTGACACAGGTTTGTTGCAAGAGAGTTTGCTACAACGTACAATGTCATGTTTGTATTGGTTAGCAAAGGTGACCCCATATTAGGTCAGAAATCTTGTGAACATCTGAATCTTGTTCGAAGAATATATACAGTGAATAATCATGATCAGAAATCTGAAAATATGCCAGATTTGTCTGATGGCAATTTTCAAAATGTATCTAGTATTGAAAATGTAGAGAAGTGCTATCCGACAATGTTTAAACCTATAAGTGGGAATACATGCATGCCATTCACCTGTTCACATACGAGAGAAAATTGAAAGAAAATTGAGAACCTGTCATACATGCTCTGAGAACAGTCTCGCAACCTTATAAAGATAGGGTTAAAGAAAATTTAGACAAATTAGAATATATAGGAATCTTAAGAAAAGTGGATCAGCCCACAGAATGGGTAAATAGCATGGTATGTGTTCACACTCATGATAAAGTACGTACAACTATTGATCAGTGATCCATCTGATTTGAATGCATGTGTAATGAGGCAACATTATCCTCTCCCTAAGAAAGATGCTACGATCAGTGAAATGTGAGGATCAAAATATTTTTCAAAACTTGACGCATCTTCGTCATTTAAATCAAGCTTCACCCGGAGTCCCAATTGTTAACCACTTTTAACACCCCCTTGGGCCGGTACTGCTATAATAGACTCCCACAAGGCTTATGTTCTAGTCCTGAAGTATTCCAGCAGATCCTTGCTATATTCCAACAAAGATCCCTGATCCATGTCACACCCCCACAAAAATCCCATGTCATATACCTTGTTCACCAAAAGTTCAATCAAGTTTGAATCTGGCTAAAGATAACAATTCAACTAATTCCCAAGTAAAGGGACTATGTTGCCTAATTCAACTCAAAAGGTTATTGTCCCATCGAACGAAGTTCGGAGGGATATAGGGAATGCCTCCGTCCGTCCGTCCGTCCGTCCGTCCGTCCGTACTTCCGTCCAGGCAATAACTCAAATACTGTTGGCCCGATTTTGTTCATATTTTGTACACATATACCCTATGGGGGTAGAAGTTCTGCTGAAAAGCCGATTTTCAAAATGGCCGCTCATTTATAAATGGCGGCCATTTTAGTGCCGATTTTACAGTAATTTAGGTGCAATATGTAAAACTGTGATAGCATTATGTTTTAAATGTAAAAAAATTATATAGGACATTGATAAAGCTAGAAATGTAGAAATTAAAATAGCACATGGCAGCCATCTTGAAAAATGGCGGCCTTTACTCGTTATTTTACGATTTTTGCTGTAACTCAAGAAGTATTGGAGCGATTTTGTTCATATTTGGTATGTGAATACTATAAGCATGGCTCACTGTCTAATGACACTTTTGGTAGGAAGAGGCCATTTTGAAAATTTGCCGCCATTTTGAAAAATGGTCGCCATTTTAACATATTTTACTTTAACTCAAAAAGAAGTGGAGCGATTTTGTTCATATTTGGTTTGTGAATACTATAAGCATGGCACACTGTCTAATGACATTTTTGGTAGAAGGAGGCGCCATTCTAACGTATTTTGCTATAACTCGGAAAGTAGTGGAGCGATTTTGTTCATATTTGGTATGTGAATAATATAAGCATGGCACACTGTCTAATGACACTTTTGGTAGAAGGCGGCCATTTTGAAAAATGGCCACCATTTTAAAGTATTTTACTGTAACTCGAAAAGTAGTGGAGCGATTTTGTTCATATTTGCCATGTGAATACTGTAAAAAAAGCATATTACTTCTTCTGATGACAAAAAATGGAATTTGAAAAATGGTCGCCATTTAAACGTATTTTACTCGGCCTTTACTCATTATTTTACGATTTTTGCTGTAACTTGAAAAGTAGTGGAGCGATTTTGTTCATATTTGGTATTCGAATACTATTAGCATGGCACACTGTCTTATGACACTTTTGGTAGAAGGCGGCCATTTTGAAAATGGCCTCCATTTTAAAGTATTTTACTATAACTCGAAAAGTAGTGGAGCGATTTTGTTCTAATTGGCATGTGAATACTATAAAAAAGCATATTACTTCTTCTGATGACAACTTTCTTATGTGTGTTATTTTATGATATTTGCTATATATTTCGTTTGTAAAAATGCCAGCTATTTCTGTTCGATGGGATTCGCTACGCTTTGGCGTTGCCGTTGTTCTGGTTATGTCAGAAAAAGATTGTAAAGAACCTACAGTTTCAGTTCCATTGAGAAAATCTACAAGTTTTAAAACCTGTAGAAAGATAAAACTTGTAATGTTCATTGATGTAAAGAACAAACATTTGATATATATTCAGATATTTTTCATATTTGAAAACATTTAATACAGTAGGTTCTAACTTGGTTACAATTCTGAAGTGACATGTAAGAATTTTATATTCAGTCACACATATTTTCATACATAAAGTAGGTAGTTCCCCACCATGACAAATATTTTAGAAATTGTAACATGTTAATCTTTTTTTATAAAGTAACGATATGTAGTAATTGTGTTATTGTGTTCACCCATAATGCATCGCAACCCCCATGATGCAATATTCACGTGTAAATAAACCGGATGTTGAAACCAAAGAAAATGTCGTGTTAGATCATTGTAAGTTTATGTTGAATTATAGATGAATTAATGCACCCATATGGCTATCTATGTATATGTCAACTGTCTAGTCATAAAATAAAGCTGGAATTACAAGAGTTAAGGAGTTCTGGGAGATACAATTGACAAAATATGAATATGTGAATATTTCAATTAATCAGATTTTGCCGTGGATTTGATTTTAAATGCTTCAAAATGATCTTCTAGAATTTCTTTGAGTGATGTTTTGACTTCCCAGCTTCATAAAAAGAACATTTTCACCATTTACTCGACTCTTAATACATGTAATATGGCTTTCAAGGTTGAATAGTCGACTTAAAATGAACCTTCATTCATAGTTCGAAAATAGAATCACCAGAGTAAAAGGTTTTAAACCATGAAATCAACTCTTAAGCCTGAAAAATTAAACCATTTCATCAGCTGTTCATTATGAATATATATTTATTATGAATTTGAGCTATTACATTTTACAATTAACAATTCTGCAATTTGGCTTTATTCTATTATTGTATAGACAAAGGCATAGGGAACGGGTGCATCTTTAATAATGCATCTATAATTTAGCATAAACCGAGAATGAATCTTTAAAAAATTATAATTGCACTCTTCAAAGACTGTGTCAAGGCCCACGTATGTGGGTACGAGAGGTTTTTCATACAAAGCCAGACTCTCCGATCAACAAAAATCATTTCGAAAAATCAAAAGCAGACATGAAATCAAAATAGCTCAAATTATTAACATTTCTGTAATTCCGGCTTTATTTTATGACTAGACAGATGACAAATCCATAAATAAAGGTTGATCCCTTGAACTCCAAGTCATACTAAATTGTAATATTTTGGTGTGCAAGTTTTAGCTGCTGACGTGAAGTCACTGGAGGAAATATTCATTACCATCAGACCATACTGTTAATGGAGACATCTGGACATAACTTGACACTTCAAAAAATGAAATAAACTTACGAATTCTTTCTATTTTTTTTATAGTAATCCATCCATTCCTGTATAAAAGCAATGTAATTTGAACTTAATGACCTGGCCTTTAGTTTAAACACACATATCAAATGGAATCTGGGGATAGTTTGTCCATCTGTAGCCTTAGGTATAGCACCTATTACTTTTTTGAATATGAATCAAACAGTTTAGAGCCAGGGCATTTTGGATTGACAAGTCTGTAATAAAAGTTAACTGGAAAAGAATCAATCAAGAGGTACACCAACAGATTTTGGAACATCCTCACACTGTCACAGCAATAATTATCCCATCGAAAGAAGTTCGGAGGGATATAAGAAACGCCTCTGTTTATCCGTCCGTCCGTCCGTTTGTCCGTCCGGGCAATAACTCAAATACCGTTGGCCCGATTTTGTTCATATTTTGTACACATATACCCAATGGGGGTAGAAGTTCTGCTCGAAAACCGATGTTCAAAATGGCCACCATTTTAGTGCCGATTTTACAGAAATTTAGGTACTGCATATAAAACTGTAATAGCAATATGTTTTAAATGTAAACAAGGCATTAACATGACAAAATGTCACCACCTAAAACAATTTGGTCAATTTAAAGCAAGTTGGAAAATACCCTTTGACCTTGAGAAGGTCATTGAAGGTCAAAGGTCAAATCTAAAGTCATATTTGAACTTCTGAGAACTTGTAAAGTCAAATTTGAACTTCTGAAAAGATGTAGATGATTTTGAAAAAAAAATTTGGTCAATTTGAAGCAAGTTGAAACAGACCTTTTTGACCTTTTTTGACCTTGAGAAGGTCATTAAAGGTCAAATGTCAAATCTAAAGTCAGATTTGAATTTCTGAGAACATGTAGATGATTTTGAAAAAAAATAAGTCAATTTGAAGCAAGTTGAAAAAGACCTTTTTGACCTTTTTTGACCTTGAGAAGGTCATTGAAGGTCAAATGTCAAATCTAAAGTCATATTTGAATTTCTGAGAACATGTAGATGATTTTGAAAAAAAAATTTAGTCAATTTGAAGCAAGATGAAAAAATACCTTTTTGACCTTTTTTGACATTGAGAAGGTCATTGAAGGTCAAATGTCAAATCTAAAGTCAGATTTGAATTTCTGAGAACATGT